AAAAAAAAAGTCACACCAATGTTTTGAAGGTAGTTTACCACTCCTTCAAGTAATCTGAATATACCATTTTCATAATATTTCTAATTGAGTAGGCACAGAAATAAATAGCCTAAAATTAGTTTAAAGGGAAGTTATTTAATTTCTAGAAAGTAATTATATGCACACAATTATTTTGTATTTGCATTTGAAAATTCCTTACATTTAAGAATTGAAAAATATGTCTTATAGCATTTTATAAACACTCTATATAAAATAGATGCATTGCTTGTATGAAGGATACATGTTTATTTTCTGTAGTATTTTCATTTAATTGCACTTCATTAAAATAATGTAGCAAATTTATGAAATACAGAATACATAAACAACATTTTCAAGGGTGTATTCTAGTAGAAAACTAAAAAAAAAGTCTCACAGTGTTGAGACAAACTCAAATTTCATCTACTTTCCCTAAAATTTATTTTTATATCGCATTGATTCTAGGTAATCTAGTTAAGGTATTAAATTGAGAATTGTACATAGAGCGACAATACACATGGATGAGAAAGCATCTTGGTAAGGGGATGCAGAATCATTTGGGTATATACCCAGGACTGTAATAGCTGTAGCATAGCCCACCTAGACAGAGAACACCTAGTGAATGGGTTATGAAGATGGAATACATAAACACAAGAGAATTGTTTTTTCAGGAAAAAAAGAAATTATAAAGCTTTTAGGTAAATAGATGAAACTGATGGAAATAATTTTGATGAAGTAACCCAGGCATAGTAAGACAAACATTATCTGTTTGTTCTCTGTTTTACGTGGACTCTTGTTTTTAATCTCTAAGTCCGAATGATCAATGCAGAACGCCTGTAGAGGCCACAAATCTAGAAAGAGATCATTAGGAGGCTGACTTAAGAGAGGGATATAGTGGGATATAGGTAATATCAAAGTAGAAGAATAGTGGAGATTGACAGTTTAACAATGGAGGTGGTGGTAAAGTATGTGGAGAAGATATCTAAAAAGGATGGCATATTCAAAACCCCATATGGGAACCTACTGTTTCATGACCAAAATAAAAAACACATACACACTTATACCACCCTCTCCAGCACTTAGGGAACATTGCATAAGAGGAAGAAAGAATGTAAGAACCAGAAGATTTGCAAAAAGGAGAGACATTTTGTAAGCAAGGCATAGCCATGGCTATATCATGAACTTTTCATATCTGAGAATGACAATACTGAGTCTGTATGAGAACAGGTCCATAAGCATCTGTACACGAGAGGAAGAAGTTCTCAGGGGCTCTATCCATCACTGGTAAACTAATGTCTCCAGGTTGATTCAGGAAAGAGGTTATCACTGTCTTCGGTGCTGTACCCGTTGGTGGCCCCACTAGGCTCCAATACATAGTCCTAATTCAGAGGTCATACCTAAGATAATCACCACACAAAACATACTTTCTTCAAAGTATTTCTATATGTATTATCTGAGTTAATATCCAGAGAAAAGACATCATACATCACTTTACTTGATAGTATTCTTAGTTGTTAAACCCCTGAACTACTACACTTGACTTATGATGACCAAGCTTATTCCTTGAATATCAGGATGATTTTTAGTGGCTCATACTCTAAACAGTATGACAGGAAAATTAGGTCACAAAGTTCTCTATTAAATTAAGGCTACTCTATCTTGTTTTAGTTTCCTGTTTATGCTCTTGGAGCCATGTATAGTACATTTAGTCTAATTCCTGCAGGAGGAATTTGCCTTTCTGCCAAATTCTCAGTTTTGAACACAAACATACCCAATGTTTGAGCTATTATATGCTTAATCATATAAAAATTAAATATCTAGTCACAAATGGACCGATGAAAGTAGAAAACAATTCTGTCCACCCTGAGCTGATACGCTGTACTTTCATTAGCTTGGAAAATTTCCATTTACATTTTGTTTTTCGTTTCTTTTGTGTCAATTACCGGTTCTGCACCTTATCTCAATTATCCCTTTATTCTTTTTGTGGGATGGGAGAAGAATGATACTGGAAGAAAAAAATGTAAGACTTGAGTTAATGGTTTTAGCCCCATATCACCTAAGCCATTTTGACATCTTACTGTCAAAATACAGTGGATTTTTACATTGATTTTTTAAATTGATTTTTCATATCACTTTGAATTTTGTGAATATGGTTATATAAATGCCCTCAGGTGAATATCATAATTATATAAAATAACACAAAACTAGACATTTATAATTAATAATGGTTGTAATTAATTTTGAATCATGTGAGCTCTTACTTGAACTGATGCTGAGCTGAACATTAAGTTTTATGATAAACAGCTTCCTACATGGCCTACCCTAGTTCAGATGTAGTAGCTGCTTCAAATTCACATTAAGCACAGTATGAAAAATACAGTAAAGCAGCCATTACCAAGTTCATAGTGAGAACCAGCATTGAAATGCTGACTGACAACTTACTCCAGGCTTACTAGCATTAATCTAAGCAATTATGAGGAAGTCAGAACAATAAGGGAAAACTGGGCTCCAATCAGATATTCTGGCTATTGTAACAACAGATCTGAGGCAGTTGTTTAGAAATTTGTTATAGATGCATTAAAAATAACTACATAGATTGGTAAAGAATCACTTCAATTATGCATAAAAATACAGGTTAGATTTTTCTATAGGCAGAGTTTCAGCAATATTAGGGACATTAATTTATCTTCTCTGTATGTCAAAAAGTCTTGCAAGTGCTAAGTCTATAGTTAATGAGCTTATAAAGTTGAAGGAGGCCATATTTTAGCCATATAAATCTTATTAACTAAATTATTTTGTACTACATAATTTAACTCTAAAGATAGTGAAACTGTAAAAATTATGACATTAGAATGATGTTGTGGTCCTAGGACAATAAGAAACACAAGCTTAATGACATATATGGTCAGTATGAACACCTTGGCTTAAACCAATAGTCAGCAAGTTATTCAGTACAAAACTCATGCAAAGTGACTTTGTTTGAACATACAGGAATTTTGCACTTTAAAAACATTGTTCGGCTATATTAATTGATCATTTCATGCAAAAGAGTTTATTATGTGAATATAATTACTTTCTAAATCTCCATATCATGGAGATGGACAAAATTAGATTTGCTAATTAAATCTAAATGATCTAGTATTATTTATTTATTTAATGCAACAATGAGTATTTGTGGTTCTTTTTCAAAGAATTCCTATCTCAAGTCATTACCATAAAAAGGAGTTACTTGAAGGACACATATATCAGCTAGAAAAAAAATTAAACCTCTCAGAATGATACAGCATGTGATTTGTTCTGTTTGAAATTATATTTACTCATGAATAAATTACAAACAATTTCATTAGAAGGGCTTTTGAGAGTCTGGTTTTTAGATTGATTATTTTAATAGTCTTGTCATGTATTATAAAGTTGTTTGTTACAAAGCTTATGGAATTTGAACTGTAAGATTGAACTAAATTCATTCCAAGCCTGACAACATTATTTAATTAGATGAGACCTTGCCAATGGCTTGCTTAGGATGTCAGAATCAGATAGAATGCTGCAGGAAATATTCATTTAAACTAAATATAAAAACCTTCCATGAAGAATATACATCGTCGGGAGATTTCAACCGAATTCAGTCAACTTCTTTGCTTAAGTTTCATTCTGTGTCATAACAGCATAGAATTCAGTTGCTTTGCCTGTGAGAAGATTAACAGAATCATAGGATGGAGCTGTATGTGGCAGAGGAAGATGTTTTCCTAGGATAAGAAGCCTTAGTGTTCCAGTCCTGCTGTTGCTGCTGCTGTAGATTACAAGAGCTTATTGATCAAAAAAAGACTGATGGTCTGGAGAAAAAAGACAAGCCCAGCAAAGACAGCCATCAACTGGCCCTAACTGACCAGAGGTACTTTCAGTTGCTGTGCAGTATCAATTCAGATATTCACAATCCTCAAGCTCCAGTGATTATTTATAAACAGAGCAAGGGAGGATCCCAATACTTCAATAAAGATATTGTTCAAGACTGTGGATTTGAACACCTAGTTCCTATAGTAAAAATGTGGGAAGATGAACTGACATCTTTAAAGGTCAGAAGAGGTTGTCAGATCCTTTGGAACTGGAGTTATGGTTTTGAACCATCATGTGGATACTGGGAACTTAACCTGGGTCATCTGAAGACCAACAGCGGTTCTTCCTGCTAAGCCATCTCTCCTGCCCTGGGTGTGGGAGTTCTTCTTGGAAGATGGATAGGTTCTGAAATTAGACAGTGGTGGTACTTTGCACCACTGTAAAAAGATGAGAACCATAAAACTGTGCTAGTAAAGGATTTGTATAAGTCCTTAAAAATACTGTCTGCAGCACTGGTACCTTGGCATAATTTAAAGAAACCGGATGAAAATGAAGGTGTCAAAGTAGAAGATCTGTTGTTTATGGTAGATACCATGTTGGAAGAGGCTGAGAACAAGGAGAGCCCCGACATGCCAAACTTTCAAACATTGGGAGCTATTGTTTCTCACTTCCAAAAGCTATTTGATGTTCAGTCTTTAAAGGAAGTCTATCCCCAGATGAATAAAGGGTATACCAGGCTTGGAGAAAAGAACAATGTGGTCAGAGACCTGCGGGAGCTCTTAAAACTAGACAGTCAATCCTCTCTGTGTGTTGTAGTCAGCACAGTTGGAAAACTGTGTAAGATGATTAATGAGGATGTGAATGAACAGGTTAGGAACTGAAGACCTACAAAGCATTATTAACAAATTGGAAGAACATGAGGAATTTTTCCCAGCATTTCAAGCTTTTACTAATGATCTTCTTGAAATCTTAGAAATTGATGAGTTGAATGCCATTGTACCTGCAGAAAAGAAATTAAAAGTACATTCATACTCAAAACAAATCACAAGTAGTAGTAGTAGTAGTAGTAGTAGTAGTAGTAGAAGAAGAAGAAGAAGAAGAAGAAGAAGAAGAAGAAGAAGAAGAAGAAGAAGAAGAAGAAGAAGAAGAAGAAGAAGAAGCTGCTTTAGTGTAAAGAGATGAAGAACACAGAGACCCAAGATCAAATTCAGTCTCAAATTCCCCTAAAGAACTTAACTTTCGGAAATTCTGCATTTCTAGAGGTAGAAATAGTTAAAAGTCAAAATGATTCTAAGAAAAGGTATTAGAAATGAATAACTGTACACTGAACTATTGTGGAAGCAAAGCCCTAGCTCCAATAGGGTTGTTAGCTGCTCTGTTGATAATTTTTTAAGAATGGAAATGCTGATATGCTAGTATCCATGCTAATGTAGTCCACAGAGATGAGAAGTTATTAGTCTTATCCTAACATCTTTTAATAAAATAAATGATAAGAACTCAGAATCATCCTCCCCTGAGAGATGGTGATATTCTCAAGCCTTCCCCAAAAAACAAGCTGTGGCTACATGATTGAATTCACAACAGAATAGCAGACTAACAACAACTTCCTCCGCTCTGTAAAATGAAACTGACTTTCCAAGTGGTATGTTCCTCACCAGTTTTCATGGGTCAGAGCTCACTCTACAATACCAAGCACACTATACGTGAAGACAGGAGATCCTGTAGGAAGGAAGTGCCTACCTAACATTGCTGAGAGCAGGTCTACCTCATCCACTGTGATGGGCTTGATTATTAAGTGAAATTGCCATAAAAATCAGTTCTATTATATTTGTATAACACTAAAGTAGCAAATATAACATATTTAACATGAAACCATGTAAGCATCTTTATCCCATGCCAAGTCTGAAATTCTCAAACAAATGATAATTAGTCTAGTCTAAGGCATGACTCCAGATAGTGTTAGAAGGTAAATTTATATTGTGTAGATGACTGATATTATTTTCTCCAACAACTTGCCAGGTTTTTTTTCAGTCTCACATAGTCTCACACCACCAAAAGAACATCAGATATTTGAGGAAAACAGTTGCATTGCTCAGCCAGAAACTAAATGCCAATTCTTTCAACCTTTCCGAGGCAGGCAGACTTTTCAGCCCTTTAATCATTGTGTCACTGGCATTCTTGTCTGGATGGTGTGCAGTTTCTCGGCATTTCTTTAGACTATAATGATCACATGTGAACATTAACTGCACAGAAAGTGTTCAATCTCTACACAAAGGGCTCAAGCATCTTGAATCTAAAAGCTTGATAAAGTTAGCTACTTGTAACCTCAGAGTCAACATAACATTTCCCTCATAGTCTATGAAAACTTCATTCTTCGTCTAATTATTCTGGGCTACTGTAAACAACCAACTTTACTATTAGTGTGTTGCTCATTGCTTTGTCTTCCAATTCTGAATTTTACAATGTTCATGTAACTATGTTATTTTTATAAAATCATCATTGGATCTTAATGGTACTGAAGATTAGTTTAGCAATAAAATTTCAAAGTGAATGGGAAAATATTCATTGAACAATCATCTGATATGTCCAGGTTGATTCAGCCTTTATTATTATTATTATTATTATTATTATTATGTTTTTGTTGTTGTTGTTGTTGTTTTGAGACAGGGTTTCTCTGTAGCTTTGAAGCCTGTCCTGAAATTAGCTAATGTAGACGAGGCTGGTCTCGAACTCAAAGAGATCCGCCATTCAGTCAGTCATATTATTAACATCTGATCTTGAGCATCTATACAGTATGGAGTTGCAATAAAATCTGTTCTCATCAAATAAGTTCTATTTTTCTCACCTGATAATTAGATTTTGTCTTAGTCTGGTTACTCTGGACTAATTTCTTTGGTTATGAACTACTTGAAACTGGATGGGCTGTAAACAAAGAAGTAAATATTCAGCTCACACGCTTTGGAAGCAGAGTTAAGGAGTGAAGGGGCACATCTGACAAGGGTCTCGTGCTGAATTATAAATAAGAGATGCCATCATATGACAGGAATATCTGTGAGTGAGATGATCAGAAGCCTTCAGAAGACATAAAACATGGGGAAATAAATTGCCTAATTAGAGCAGCAACGAATTCATTCCTCCAAGATCAAGTACTCACTTACATCCTACATGATAGAACATCAGTCTTTTCATTAGGGGTTAGCCTCTGTGGCCCACAGACATCTTTCTAGGCCAACACTCCTATTGATGAATCAAGAAACCAAGTATCAATATGAGTTCCAGTTCAGACACACCATATTCAACCACAGAATCTTTTTCGTTTCTCTAATGATTTTTTTATGTTATAAAAAAATTAATAGGAATTGTTTTATAGAGAAATTTCCCCTATAAAATAATGTAAATTATTAACAAATAACTTTTATAAACACATCTGTTTCACAAAGCAATGCATTATTTTTTCTTCTTTTCTATTATAATTTTTCAGTTATTTTCCATGCCAAACAGTTTACCCTCCCTCTTCTCCTCCTACACAATCTCCCCTCTTCCTAACTCCATCCACTCCTCCACTGTTTCTGTCCAGAAAGGGGAAGGCCTTCCATGGTTATCAATAAAGCATGACATATCAAGATGAGGTAGGACTAAGATTCTCCCCTTGTATTAAGGCTGGGTCAGGCGATTAAGTATGGGAAATAGGTTCCCAAAAGTCAATTCAAGCATTAGTACCCAGTCATGATCCCACTCCTAGAAGCTCCACAAACAGACAAAGCTAAAGAGACTGTCACCCACATGCAGAGTGCCTAAGAAAGTTGCAGGTGGGCTCTCTAGCTGTTGGTCCAGAATCTGTGAACTCCTATGAGCCCACGTTATTTGTTTCTGTGGGTTCTTTTGTAATGACCTTGACCATCCACCAGTGGCTCATACAGTCCTCCCTCCTCTCTTCAACAGGATTCCTTGAGCTTGGTTCAGTGCATTGCTGTGGATCTCTACATCTGCCTTTCATCAGTTACTAGACAAAGACTCTCTGATAACACTTAGGGGAGTCACCAATCTAGTTACAGGAGATAGCCAGTTCAGGCACTATTTCCACTACTGCTAGGAGCCTTAGCTGGGGTCATCCTTGTGGATTTTTGGGAAAGAATCTCAGATGTTGAAGATACAATAGAAGAAATAGATTCATGGGTCAAAGAAAATGTCAAATCCCTAAAAAGTCCTAACATAAAACATGCAGAAAATCTCAGACACTATGAAAAGACTAAACCTAAGAAAAATAGAAATAGAAGAAGGAAAAGAACTTCAGCTCAAAGGCACAGGAAATATATCCAACAAAATCATGGAAGAAAATTTGTCTAGCCTAAAGAAGGACATACCTATAAAAAGTACAAGAAACTTACAGAGCACCAATACACTGGACAAAAAAAAAGTCTCCTTGCTACATAATAATCAAAACACTAAATGTACAGAATAAAGAAAGAATATTAAGAACTGCAAAAGAAAAAGGCCAAGTACCATATAAAGGCAGACCTATAAGAATTATACCCAACTTCTCAATAGAAACTCTAGAAGCCAGAGGATCCTAGACAGACATTTTGCAGACACTAGGAGACCATGGACATCAGCTCAGACTACTATACCCAGCAAAACTTTCAACCATAGACTCTTAGAAGAGAAATTAAGGTACAAATCAAGGTTGGCAGACACACAGCACAATGCCAGATTGTTTGTCTTCTCATCCATAGTGTGTATCATCAACCTAATGGTGGCCAGTAGTTGTCATGTCCTAGAAGAGGTCAAATGGTACCTATCAGTTTAACCCTTATCATCAGGAAATCTATTTCTCATCAACCCTCCCTAATAAGCATCTGCTTTTACTCTAATGGCCCAAAGTGCACCAAATGGCTTCACACCTTACAAAGGAAGACCAGAAGGCTGTGGAGATGGATCAGTGGTTAAAAGGGCATACTGCTCTTGGAGAGTCCAAATTATAATCCCACTAGTCTGGCAAGAAAAGGAGAGATAGAGACTCATAACTCTCCAATTAAATGTGTCACAGTTTCCATTTTGGTCTTAGTGCACTTTCAGCATGACAAGCAAATGTGTTGATTTTGTTTTCTCCTAGTTGGTTTACAGGACTACACTGTCACCACTCACAGGAGCACATTATGCTTTCCTTGTATGCTTTGGTGTTTCTCTTTAATTCTAACGTCAAGCAGATTAAGAAGCAAGTTCATTAATTGTTATGTTTGTTCTACTCAGAAATTCTGCAATGACTTAATTATACCTAGTAAACATACAAATATCCTGGGTATGCCACCAGGCTTATGCAGTTGTATCATTGTTACAATTGTTTATAAATATGATAACTGGATTTTGGTTCTTGTGATTACAATCTTCCTAGGGAAATTAGAAACGGTCCAACAGGTCTTAGAGGAAACTACTCTTGCTTTAGGATAAGACAGAGATAACCAGGATTGTGGTCTTCATTTCTTATTATTGGGTGAATATTGTCAAGGCTAGTAACACTGATTTCTTTTCTTATCTGAAAATTAGGTTTAGGACATCTCCTTGTAAGACAAGGTTCACAATAAAATCTATCACCCTGCTATCTCCAACCTAGCTTCTTGCTAGAATTGCCTACCAGAAAAAAGAATTCACAGCATTAATTTCCAACTTTTGTAAAACTTTACTGCAGGAAACTTAAGCAAAGACATCGTTAGCATGCATCACACCTCTGAAAGCTGACAAGCATTAGAAAAAGTACACAAAAGCTGTTATTTTCCATCCTGCTAGCTCTAGAATTATAGATCTGTAGGCAAACCGTGGCCTTTATAATTTTTATTAAAAAAACTGTTGTATGAGCTTTCCTAAAAATAATGCATTAAATGTTGAAACACTGACAGCTACAAAGATCAAAACATGGTACCCACTCATCATAATCCTCCTCTAATCTCTGCTGTAAACTGGGAGTTTCTGTCTCTTGCTTTGCTCCTTTACATAGCATGTTCTTATAGCCTTCACTTTTATTATATACCCCTGGGCATTGTGGATGATTAT